TCTCAGGTCTGTTCTCTGTAGAACCGATCGCTGAGAACACCGTGTTTAACTGGCTGTAACAGGGATGAACCCAAAGTCAAACACTGCGTTATTTACTCCAAACACCGCCGCTGAAGCCGCCGTTATCGGACCGCTGCGCGGTATCATCGGCGTACACGTGCAGCAGCGACTGCAGCAGGTGTAACTCAACACTCTGATCTGTTGTCACCGTCTGGCTGCTTTCCTCTGCTCTCTCTTTGTGTGTGTGTGTTGGTGTGTACACACACACACACACATCCTGTACGTGCTGTCCTGTACGTGGCGTCCTGGTTGGCGCTGATCCAGGTGGCGCTGCTGATCAGAGATTCTGCTGCAGATGTTAGATGTGCTGGGCTTTAGTCACGGACGGTGTTTTACACTGGAAGTGGCTGTAGCAGTTAGCATAAACAAGCTAAGACCCGGGAGTAGCCTAGCTGCTGCTGATTGGATACAGCTGTCCATCGTGATCCAGTTTAGAGGAAAATAAACAAAATAGCAAGACAGCAAAACACAACATGTGAATTTTCCAGTCCAGTCCACTTTTACACGACCAAATTAGTTTGTAGCATTAAATCTTAATTAATTCATTAACATTCCTATTATTTACTGCTGAGTCTAAGTCGGAGTGAACTCCGATATCACTATCAGTATTTCAACTGTAAGCGAGAGCTAAAATTTGTAAAATTTTGTAATATTTTGTTGTTCATTGTTTTGTTTTGCTCCATTTGTAAAGTGAAACAACATCATGTCACTGTCACTTAATAATGAAAGCACAAAATGATTCATTCAAGTGAGGTCATAGGTTAAAGTATTGCTAAAGTGCCCTCTGCTGGATCAGAAAAGTATATTGTTTCAGCTCTTGTGATTAACTGTTAAAATTCTCCAACAACTTTGAACAAAAACAACAAAAAAACTGACAAGAAATTATTTCGATTTCCATCCATAGAAATAGTTTATTTTTATATGTTGTGCTGTAATTTTGTTCCACAACATAAAATATTATTATTGTTTACCTAAGTCAAGGTTTTTTTCTACTTGTCAATGAAACAAAAATTCACTGTCATGAGAAATGCATAAACAAAATCAGCTAATATTCCCTCCATAATAATAACAGGAATAGTGATTATAATGTTATTATTAAGAATCAGTGTGACGTTGGGGGATTTTTGACTGGTAATTTAAAAAAATGTTAACAATATGGGATTTTTCTCTCTTTGTTCTCCCTCTCTGTTCTCCAACTTCATTTCTTTCTGTCACTTTTTCTCCTTCTTTGTCCTTGTTTTTTCCTTCATTCCCCCGCTCTGTTTGTGTCTTCTTCTTCTTCTTCCCTCACCCCACCCTGTATCTGTCGTCTCCATCTCCCCTCTGCCCTTCCTCCCAGTGGCTTTAGGGCGTAACCAGCCCCTGAAGAGAGAGCGGCCTAAATGGAAAAGTGACTACCCCATGACCGAAGGCCAGCTGCGCAGCAAGAGAGATGAGTTCTGGGATACCGCGCCGGCGTTTGACGGCCGCAAGGAGATCTGGGACGCCCTGCGAGCCGCGGCCAGTGCCTTTGAGAGCAGTGACCACCTGCTGGCTCAGGCCATCCTGGACGGAGCCAGCATCACGCTGCCCCACGGTAACTCACAGCACATTCACAGCACAGCACACTCAGCACAAAGTATTTGTTTTGCCCCGACAAATTCCACATGGGTGGACTTTGTGCAAGTGCCTGCAGTTAGTGATTACCAAACTCAGAAGAATGTCGACTCCCTCTCCCCGGGATATTGATATAAGAGAAAATTAGAGAAAAACCTCAGGAGGACAGCTTGTTTTTTTTAAAACATTTTTTACATATTTTTACGCGGAATTAATTGAAAAAGTTTATTCTTTAACACAAAAATCATCTGAACTCTATATATTTGTATTCATTTGTTATATTGACACAGGCAGTAGCTAATTTTAGATAAGAAATCTGCTGGCACTTTAGTATTTATAAAAGTAAATATATATATTTATTTGGTATATTTTTAATGTGAAAATTCAAGTATTTAATTCTGACGTTCTAGAAAAATCTAGTTGACCTGCAGTACTGTAGCTCACAGGTAACGTACGCCTTAACTTCCCCTGTTTACAAGTGCTCAGAATATGCCCAGTAGCATATGAGCTAAAGCCAGCTAGCCGTAGCTAACACAAACATATTTTCACTTATCTGTGAGTTGTTACCATGTTAGAGGAGCAGCGCTGATGAAATAAAACTTAAAGAGAAGAGAAAGGCCACTGGTTAATTGTTATAAGTTTAATAAAAGTTTGTAAAGAAGCTGTGAGTATGAAGCAACCTTAGCCACAGCTAAGTTAGCATGAAGGCTAAAAACAGGAAACGGATTATTCTATTAATTTTTTCATTTCTTTTTTCTTCTGGATGGTCAAACATGAAACTGTTTGACCGAAAGAGAACAGTTTTGAAATGACTTTTTTTCTTTCTTTTTTTTTTTCCTTTGTGTTTTGGAGATTTGATTCGGTGTTAAAAAAAAAACCAAAACAAGCAAATTTGCTAGTAAAGTAAAGTTGTGAAGCACGTGTATCTCTACTGTAATTGAAAGCATCTAGTGCAGAGTGAACACGGTCCTAATTATAAAGTATTCATCTGGCAGTAAATGGAATCTTAAGAAGCTGTAAGTGACCGCACCGTGGGCTTTAGTTTTTTTTTTGTCCATTAGGAACTGCAGCGTAGCCCGAGGCAGGGACGGATAAATAATAGATGATCAGTGTGGTGTCCTTGTTTTTTTTGTTTTTGTAATGAGATTTAACGCAGTAATCAGTCACAAAAGAACAGTAAAAAAAAGCCCACAAAGAACATATGGTGAAGACAGAGAGTGAGACTCTCAGATTCAGTTCTGCTCTGTGTCCCATCAGCTGCTCTGCCACAAACTCTATTTGTGGATGTGGATCATTGTCTTTACCTGCTTCATATCACCACAGAATCACATTACCTCAACTGAGAAAGGGAAGCGTTCCCTTATTTTTCTGATGAAACATAATCATTGTGAGTTTTGTGTTTGGTGTCATATTTATCCAGAATCCTTTCTGGGTTTTCAGTTCCTTCTGTGTCACAGTGTCAGTGACAATCACCAACCACGTCACTGATTATCACTCTCCCACCCAGTCGAGGTGCCTCGTCTCTTAAAGTTCCTCCTGCGTCTGATTTAGGAGAAGCACTTAACAACAAATGGTTTTTATGTGAGTGTAAACGGGCCGGGTCGCTCTCAGTAGTCTGGCTGGGTCAGATCAGATCCTGCTGGGCCGCAGCTGTGGATTCTCCTGACCTGATGTCACCACGGCACCAGCCACACAACAGAGAGAGAGAGGCGAAAACACTGGTGTCACTTTTACATCGTTTTACAACACGCAGAATTCATTCAAGCTTTTTTGTTGTTTTGTAC